AGGAAGCATCCCAAGGGAACCTGCAATAAACATCAGTAGCCGTCATGCAAGTAGTTTTGTTACTGAAAGGTCGTACTGTTGCACTGAGACTATGCCCATGCTGATTCCGTCCGCCTGTTCCGTAGCGCTGGCTTCGGAGAAGCACAGTGGCAGGCCAAGCACTGCCAGCACACGGCCACGAAGGGAGGGCCGAGCGCGAGCCATGGCAACGCTTGCGGGCCGCAGACTTCGTTTTGCGTTCGTCGAGTTCTTAGTTGCAGAGTCTGCTTTCGCGCTTCAAGTTCCGGCGTGTGCAATATACTGTTCGGTCTTGTCCAGCCTGCTCTGACGGCCGTGAAGACTCTGAACCTCAACCTCTTCAGAGCCGGGCTACGTCTGTTGCCCTTCCGAAACCTCTAGACAACTTCTGCCAAGTGTACATGACGACATGCAGCAATGAGCTTACTAGTTGAAGAAAAGAGCACCACTTCGTAGTTGGCTCGACTTTCAAAACCGTGCAGCTGCCATGCAACAACTGCCGCCCATTCCGGTCGGCCTAGAGGGAAGCCAGAATCTATTGGTTGCGAGCCGAGATCGGCTTGCAGCAGGCGAAGGCTCCTGCATCACACAATCGCTGGTCCTGCTGTCATAGTGGTCCTGGTAATTAGCCGTGGTCGTCCGCAGCCGTCGTGGTCATGGTCTCTTCGGAGTCTACGTTTGCTCCAAGCAATCAGCCTACCAAGCCTACCAAGGCATCAACAGGCCGTGTTCACATTTTCGCTGATAGGATGAGGTTTTGTCTCACGCAACTGTCCCTATGAAACGGGCAAAGACTTGGCACAATTGGAAGGACATCTAACCGGCAAACCTTGGCAACCAGCAACTCCAAGCCAGGGAGTGGCAAGCTCTACACCGCTGCCATGCAGAAGTCCTATTCCGGCAGCAGGCAGTGAGACTGAGTGATACGTTGCCACCGGCCCACGCTTTTGAAAGCGATCTGCTTGCTGTCACTTGAGTTCAGCAATGGAAGAAGTGCTGGTCTGTTCGCTGGCCATTCTGTTTCATGGTATGCGACCCGTCCGGGTTACAATTCTCGTCTTCGCCTTCGCCTGAAGGCGTCAGCTACTAGCCACGAGTTCCGTGCAACGAATTCAGAAGACTTGGCCTGCAGAGTCGGGGCTGCTTTTGGCCAAGATGTTTTGGGCGGACAGGCTGGTCTCATCACTCGCTTTGCCTCCGTTTGGGCGTCCTGAAAGAGGCCCTCGAGGACCACACTGAGATCGCGACTAAGCCCTTGCGCCGGACCCATTGCGCCAGACACTGGGCACGTCATCCTAAAACCAAGGAGGCAGCGAGAATGTTCAGTGAGCCAGCGAGCTGTGGTGTTCTCTTTCGGAAATACAAGCTTCCCAGTCTTCAGGCCTTGCTCTTTGCTAGCCACCGCCTGATAGGTCCAAGCTTACTTCTGGAAAGTTGAGGAATGAGCGCTTGCCCGGCCTGCTGGATGCAAGCCGCAATTCGCTCGCAGCAGCCGCTAGCGGCATCTTCCCAAGCCTGCGGCAGAACCCACCAGCGCAAGCCTATCCCAATCTGTCTCTGCCGTCTCTGCCTTCAGCTTATACCTTCCCACCCCCGCCTTTACTGAGCTGGGCAAATTCCTGCTGCGGCTTCCGTAGCCTCTCAGGACAGTCGGGCAGGAAGGTCTGAGTTCCTAGAAAAGCGTGTTCCTTCACCAAGGACAAAGTTGCGACACTGGAATGCGAAGGAGTGCAAGAAACACAAGAAACTAGTGCATGCAAAATGTACTGGATGCAAAAAGACTGATTAAGACTGTGAGAAGTGCGGAGCAGAAGGGCAAAGCGTGAACCCACGCCTCCCTCGCAGCGCTTCCTCGCCAAAGCCAGTAGGCGGCGGAGAAAAGGTACCGTCCCCACCTCGAAGGAAAGAGACGAGGCAAAGCTTCCAAGAAGAGGCACGGCTGTGCACAGAGCTGCACAGAAGTACAAGCTGCAAGCCAAGCTTCGTGACTTGGCAAAGAAAGAAGCTGCGTGTCGATGAGTGAAGCCAGCTTCAAAGACTGATCGAATTCGCAAAGCCTGACCTAATGCTGCCTGAAGCTGATTCGCCCGCAGAGATGCAAGTGCAAGCAGCCTCGACAAGGAGAAGCCTTTTCCAGAAAATCGCCTGAGTCCTCGAATCAACAGGCATCGCAAGCTCCTGGAATCCAAGGAGGACACTCACTCGGATACACGCACACACACACACAGACACACACACACACACCCCAACAATGAGCTGTTGCCTTCTGCAAATGACAAGAACCAAACCCCGCCCTGTCCCTCCTTGCCGTGCTCCAAAGCTAGCGCGAAAGACATGACCCGCTCCAGGATTCGTCCCTGGCTGGATACACAAAACGAAACGGAGCAGAACAAATCCGTTGACTCATGACACAATGATTCGCCCCTTAGGTTGTTGCCACTTGGGATTGTAATGTTCAGGCTGCATGCCTGCATGAGCCAATTCCAAGCTGCAAGCCGCTTTCTTTCGGCACAGACTTAAGATTGCGTCGACGGAGCACTTGGCTCAGTGGCCCCACATTGATATGTTGGCGGAGCCTGTCTCCAACTGGCTCTACTGACTCTCAGCACTCAAAAGCCGAATTCAGCACGCACAGAATCAAGATTATGTCGACGGAGCACTTGGCTCAACGGCTCCACATTAACATGTTGGCGGAGCCTTTGTGTCAAACTGCATCTGTACTCGCAGCATTGAGAAGCCAAGTTGATGTCCCATGTCTTGGTCCCACATGCAATGAGAGCCTTTGTCTCAAACTCTATCGCTACTCGCAGCATTGAAAAGCCAAGTTGATGTACCATTTCTTGGTCCTGGCGTTGGTCCTCTTCACACAAACCTTGGAGCCTGTCACGTGAACCGAGAACTCGTCTGCAACAGTGTCACCAGTGAGCCAATTACTCTTGTCCACATGGTCAGGGCATGCAAGACCTGGAGTGGGTATTGTCCTGCACTTTTGTGGAAGTCCATCCCAGTTTGGACCGAAGATCATTGTCGCACAAGTGGGGCAGCCATTGCACCCCGAGCAATCGCAAAACCGCGGCCAATCACTAGTGCTCAAGAATCGTTTTCGGTCGCAGCCTGAGTGACGTAACTGTTTTGAAGCTGAAGCTTCAAGGACCGCAGAGGTCGCATCTCAAACAAGGAGGAGACTCACAGCGCTTCTCGAAGCTAAAAGCAAGCCTGAGGGACTTGGCAACCTTGCAAATGGCATGCAAGGCTCCGTTCTCGCTCCATTAGATACGACATGCGGTGTTTCTTCCCAGGGAGGGCTGGGAGGGAGCCCAATTAACTCCCGCAGATAGAAAGCGTCCTTGCACTCCCCTTTCGCACTAAACATCGTTACGAATGTCAAGTGCTCAAGAATCGTTTTCGGTCGCAGCCTGAGTGACGTACTGTTTTGAAGCTGAAGCTTCAAGGACCGCAGAGGTCGCATCTCAAACAAGGAGGAGACTCACAGCGCTTCTCGAAGCTAAAAGCAAGCCCGAGGGACTTGGCAACCTTGCAAATGGCATGCAAGGCTCCGTTCTCGCTCCATTAGATACGACATGCGGTGTTTCTTCCACGTTTCCCACTCACGGCGCAGCTGTAAAATGGGAATTGTAGTTTGCCACTAAGGCAAGGGACTGAGAAGACAATTTGATGTCGGCTAATGTAGCCATGCCGTCCTGCAAGTAAACTCTTGCGGCTTTCATGGACTGCCACCGCCCTCGCAACAGGATATGTTCCAGGGCAACCCCCTGCTGCAGAAGGAAAGTTCCCCCTCCCCGTCTCAACGAATACGGGTGGAAGCCTTGTGCTTGCAAGTGAAACGATTTGCACAAATGTCGGAAGGCGATGCGAAAGGACTGATGCGAACCAAGCCAAATTGTTCCAGTGCAGAGTTTGGCTTGTCTAACAAAGAGAAGAGTCTCTAACAGCTTGACAACGGCACGATCTGAGACCGTAACGGCTTCGTAGGAGCCAGACCGCTGAGATGTTTTGGTCACGCGGAGATTGACAACGGCGCGGGATGAACCCAGCCAGATGTCGTCCAAGGAAAGTGCGAGCAACTCTCCCGTTCGTAACAGGCAATGGAAGCCGAGGCCAACCAAGACACCAAGTTCCAGCTGGTGTTGTTCGACACAGAAAGCCAGAAAGGCGGAGGCAACTTGGGCGGGCAGCGGAGGGGCACGCTGTGGAGGTTCAAGACGTCTCCACGTCTTGAAAAGTTTCCAAGAAATAAGAAGTTGTCGACGGCATTGCGGCCAGAAAGCGTGCATACCGGATAAAGCGTCACCAATGATGCCCAACGTCTCACCGCGGGCCCACATCACTTCGATCCAATCACATGGCACCATCAAGCTCAGCAAAGTTTGTAACCTCTGCAATAAAAGGCAGAAGTACTGACACAGCCTTCCTGTAGCGCTGAAGCGTTCTGACTTGGACACTCGCTGTCCAGAGCGAGATCCCTGTCCTCTTTCTGGCACGTTCAGTGGGAGTGATTCGTATCACCATCGGCTACCGGCGTCGGCTGGGTTTTCTGCGCTGTCCACATGAGCCAACACTAAGGTCACTTGCATGGCCAAGGTGTGCGCAGCAATATCCCTGCTGAGAGCCAACAACATACGGGACGATGTCCTCCCTTTGGCCGCAATGGACAACGCGACAAAACTATCAACAAGGTGGATTAAACGACGTCCCATGTGACCCGGCCGTGATGCACGCCACTGCAACCCGAGCAGCAAAGCACGCATCTCCAACGCATTGATGTGATGTCCAAATTTCCAACGTTTGTGGAAGACTTGTTTCCATGTCCACCACACAGCTTCCACTGATTGGCGAACCCCTTTTTCCGGATGGACAAGCTCTCCAGTGGAAATCCGGACGTCTGACCCACTATGATTTGTGCCTTGACATAGACGGTTGGCGATGACAACCTCGGGCTGCAAGTCATGTGCTACTGGGTGAGTTCCATAGTCCTTCCAACGAGTGATGGGGCAAAAAGTGGCAGAACTCGCACAATGACCCGACGCTAAACCCAGCTTTGACAGAATCTCCTCAACAGTAGCCTCAGCCCGGAATGAGCGGCACAAATGTCCGCCCATCCAGCCGAAACTCAACATGTGAAAACTATCTCCGATAAGGCACAACCGTTCATCTTCCAGTTTTCGGGGTCGTGATTTCCCTTCGGAGGCAGACAAGCAGAACTTGGTATGGCCAGAACCGAACCCCATAAGCAGCTCTCTTTCTGAGCTGTCTGCATATCTCATGTTCTCACCATCAGTGAGCAGGAATTTGGATTGGTACTGGTATGGGGGGAAGCGGTAATCATCGCTTTCCCATCTGGCGCGTGCATCCTCAGCACACCTGTTGAGACCTGCAGGTGAAAGAGGTGGTTCTGACCGAGGAATAGATTTCATGAAGGTCGGCAGACAACTATCACAATCCACACGCCTCCAACCTGGACGAATCCAACATTCATCTGGCACGTTGTCAGCCGTCATGCTCACTTCACAAAACCCCTTGCGAGGAGTAATGCTGACACCGGCAGTTTCGGCGGCCCATTCCGACGTCCAAGCAAAGCGAGGTCGCGAGCAACACAACACGTCTATAGGATCAAGCCGATATGGGACAACTCCGACAACTTTGGAGATTTCATCACGAGCAGAAACATCCATAGAAGCGACATTCTCAATGATCCACCGGAGTTTCGCAAATGAGAATGCATCCGCAATCACACCGACGAGCTCCCACATCTTCCAGAAGAGGTTGGACCCTTCTCCTTCCAGATTTTTGCGCCCGGCCCTCACAGAAGATAAGTGCACGCAAGGAAAACCTGCCCACACGTGGACTTCTCGCACAGAGGAAAACATCCCAAGCCACTCATGGACAACCGAGCGATCAACAGATTGAATGTTTTCCACAATTTTAGCATGTGGCCACGCTCGTCGGACGGTCCTGTTGGCTGGTTTGTGTATTTCCACGGCAATCAAACCTGCTGCACGAACGCCCAACAAGTCATAGGCCCTGAATGCACCACCAATACCATTGAACAATGAAATCACTAAGATCGGCACGCAGTCCAGCTCTTTCAGTGAAGCAGAAATTGCAGCCGAAAAGGACGCACCTGACCACGTGCAGCCTGTTGACACGCAAACTGCCCCACCAGATTCAGAGGCATCTGTTGCGACAACGGCAGGGTGGACCGGCCGCTTCAAGTCAGCTGACGCAAGAGGCGCAAGCAGGACTGCCATCAACAATTCGACACAAGCGTCACTCCTCGCCTGAAATCCTCCTGTACCTCTCGATGCTTGCCAGATGCGGGAAAAGACTGCGAACAAAGGCCTCCTAAACTGGCAAAGGAAAGCCCATCGTCCGCCAAGGACTTGTAGTCGCTTTTTGAAATGCCCACCAGGAGAACTAATAAAGCTCAACGATGCCAAAACAGTCTTCCACAGTCGATTCGTACCACCACTCAATCGACCTGCCTCACCGTCAATTTCAGCTCCAAGCTCATGCACCAGCCCTGCATGCTCAACATTCTTATCCAAAGCACAAAGAATCCCGGCGGCTTCCCAAGCATTCTGGGCAACTTCGTAAAACGTCTTAGCCTGCAATGAGCCCTCAGGCCCCGAAGCATGGCATGAGATGAAATTGTCCAGATAAACTTGCCACCATCCGTGCTCCCCGCCATTGCGCCAACAAGTAACAAGCCAGGGTGGAACTCGCCGGTCCTTCGTGATCTCATGAGAACTTGGGAGGCCTGCTTCTAGCAGAACGCGTCTGCTGATGCACTGCATTACTCCCACTGCGGACTTCCATCCCATGGGCAGTGTGCAACAGGCGACGGTGTAACGACATCCTCTCTCACCTCCAACCTCATCTCCGTCCAAGTCCATGTTTAGGGCGAAGAAAGGAAGCCAACAGTCAGGGAGTCCAAACAAGTAGAATGCGCAGGACATGTCCGACTGGAAAGCAACCAACCCTTCATCAGGCCCAACAACAATCGACATCCATTGAGTAACTGCTGGTAGGGCTCCACTATGCCCCGCAATCATCGACTGAAGCCGGTTTGAAGGAATCAAATTAATGATTGTCCGCAAGATTTGGCGGCCGTCAGGCAGAAACTTGGGCTTTGGAACACCAAAAAGGCCATTCAACACGCGCTCACCTCGAAATCGAAACACATCATCAAGCTTGATTGCTTTGCACACCCCACGTTTGATAAGCAGCCTTGCTACCTCTCCATGCTCCCCCTTCTCAATGTGCACCCGGGCCGAAGTCGGACCAGGAACCACGTCTTCATCCGGAAGCAAGTTGAGTGAAGGTTCGCTCATCAGCTTGTATGTTCCGCCGTCAAGGAAGCTCAGTGCATCCACTCGTCCTCCGGCACCCTCGGGAGGGAGAGCAGGAGCCATCTGATCCACTGTCAATGGCCTCATGGGCAAGATCTCCTCCCCAGTGTAGCTCAACACTGCTCGGTCCAGCTCAGCCCTAAGGTTGGCGAAGACGAAGGAACCATCACAAGCATCCGCCTTATCAAGAAAACATGAAATCTGGGAACGAATGAGGTGCTCGGACTCACTGTCTTTCCTCTGAGCAGCCAGCCCCGAAGGGCACGGCGTCTTCACCTCGTTACGGTAACCCGCAAGCCAATTAAGACTCTGTACAACATTAAAAAACCAGCAATCTTCAGAGAGCTGCCGAGTAAACGCCACACCCTCAAGCGGACGCTCCTTCAGCATCCAACAAAGATTCGAGCGCCCAACTCGCAGGGGTAGGAGCGGCCGGTGTTTGGCCGCATCCTGAAGGCTGCGACCTAAAGGTAAAAGTTCAGCCAGGCGACGTCCATTTACAAATGGGACGTTATTCAAAAGACCCCATGCGAGTCGAACCCCCAAATCAACAAAAGTGCTGCACTCATATAGCCAATTCGTCCCCTCGGCTTTCCGCGGCACTGCCCCCGGCCTGTCAACACAAGGCGACGGCACGGGCTCCAGGCCTGTTACACCCGACGGCACACAAAAGAAATCCTGTTCAGCGGAGGGCGGCAAACCACGCTGGTTGCAAACGCCATCATCACCCAGCAGCGGTTCTGTTGAAACACCGGTCACTACTTCTTCGGCTTTTCTTTTCCCCCTGGATCCACCTTCTCCTTCAGCCCGTCTTTCTCCTTCTGAGGGTCTCCTTTGAACTTCCACCAGGACTTCCCGTCGCCTTTCTTCCCCCATTTTCCTTTCCCTTCTCCTTTCTCGCCTCCTTTTGCCCCAGCATCCGTGCCAGAGCCCTCGAACCATTTGCCGGTCCCTTTCGACCAGCCCTCGCTCTTCGATACAAGTCTGGCGTGCTTCTGGGCAGCTAAGAGTGTTTCGGGCCGTGCCACAGTTGCCGGCTCCAGGCTTTCCACTTCGAGGTACTTCGCTGCATGCCATGACCCACTTGTTGCAGCGACTTCCAACGCCATGGCCCGCCCAGCCAAGGCATCGCCCAGCTCCTTCAGCTTCCCACCTTGAAGTAGGTCCATACAGCGTCAGGAGATAAAGCTCGCGCTGGTCTCGAGGCCGGGTTTCGAACCGACTGCGCCAAAACAGCTGAAAGAACAGGCTTACTTTGACCTCGGTCTCTCCCGTCATCTCGGCATGAAGTTCCCGACCTAACCCCTGCTCCCTCTCCGACAATTGTTTGCGAATGTGGGTCAATAACTCTTCGAAGACGGCTCCTGGCTTCTTTTCTGCCTTCCTCCTTACTGGGGGTATCAGCTCCTTCTCGTAAGAGGACCGACTTTCGATTGATGAGCTCTTTCCGCTTCCCGAGGAAGAGCTCGACCTCCGCCGTCTCTTTTTGCTCTTCCTCCGGGACTTCCGCGACTCGCTTCGCCCCCTTCTCTTGTTTGGGACTCCAGCTTCCGCCGCCTCTTGAGCCCTGGCCCTTGCGAATAGACGACCCCCTTTGCCGCTTTTCTTGGACCTCCGCCGAGACTCTGAACCGCTGTCCTCTACCAAAATCTGTTCGGCTTTGACCGGGATGCTCACCGGGCCACCGGGCAATGCGGGCAGAGCCAGCCGTGGAGTAAGTGCCGGAACATCCCCCCGGCGCGACTCTACTGCACTGTCCTTGTCTGCCCAACTCACTGTCCTCCTTAAAATGGAGGGGCCTGCATTTCCAACTCGTGCCTTCATTGCTTCGAGGCCGCTGAAAAAGTCGCCTCCCATGTGGCCACTGGGCTTTTCGACAAGAGGATTGGGAGAAGAATTTGAGGCTACCCTCGACTTCCCCGTCAGGGGTAGAGCCGGAATTGGAGAGCTCGTCCCACTCTCGATCTTCTCCATAAACGTTTTGAGGGCCCTCTTCCCGTGAGCTGTGCAATACGCTGCGGGGAAGGAGTGGGGAGGCCAATACGTCAGCTTCT